GTTTAGGGTTTGTGGTTTAGGCTTTGGGGCTTAGGGTGTAGGGTTTAGGGTTTAGGGTTTGGGGTTTAGGGTTTGGGGTTTAGGGCCAATCCCCCACCCAGTAATGGGTACCGCAAGTGACTCTTGCAGGTAGTATTGAGGCTCTAGTAACTCCATATTTACGGCTATTACTGTAGGGGGATTGACACAACACATTACTGCATTTTTTGTCATTCTCAACTATAAGCCTGTGAACCTGCACCAGGAAGACAAATGGTAGCTGTTCTGCCCCCTATTGGCCATAGGATAGGCTCCTTTTTGCTCAGGATCCCCCTTTAAGGAAGTGTGTTTAGGGTTTAGGGCTTAGGGATTTTGAATCATCCCTCCTTGAAAAATCCTAAACCCTAAACCCTAAAAACCCTAAAAACCCTAAACCCTAAACCCTATCCTCAGAAACACCCCCCCAAATACTGCTCAACTGGTCCAGGTGGCGGGGTGCCCTTTTCGCCGAGGATGAAATCACCTGAAGCGACAGCAAATCAAACGAAAAGGATTTATTGGTTCCCTACACCCCTATAGGGGACTGGGGGGAACCGATTCCTAGAATCCCGAATGCCATGCAATCATACATGTTCCCTCAAGCACTCCCCTTGACCCTCAACCATAAAACCCTCAAGAATATGGTGAGGTTGCTTCCCTTCTCTTTTCCATTCCCAAGCTCCACAGCAATACGGTATCCATATTCTCCGCCCCATTCCCCTTGACGCAACGGTAAGATAGCTTGAGTTCCCGGCGCGTCTTGGCCGACACGCCACCGGTTACCTCAGTTAGCTTCAGTTGAGCGCGAAATGGAACCAGCTGGGAGAATAGGTGCTGAACGTAGAGGCCCCCGAACGGCATGAACTTTAGTGCCATGACACCCGCCTGTGCACGGGGGACAGCTATTCTGAGTTGCTGTAAAGGAACCCAAATTCAGTTAGCATAATACGTATATATCATAGGTAATATGGTTCCCTTCTTATGATACCTTCATGTATGTTCCCTAGCAGCAACCCAGCATAATTACAAAGATCTCTTAACCTAACTGCGAAGGCCTCTGCGCCATAGGCCCCAACAAAGAGGTCCATGGTCTTCAAACTAAGTTCGCTTTGCCCAGACCTGGCTGCCTGCGGGTCACAAATCATCTTACCGAAGTTTAAGGGGGATCGTCTTCAGGGTTTGTGGTGCAGGATCTAGGCCCCTTGAACATTTATAATGCAATGGACATGTGGCCTCCACGATGACTGCAGGATCTTGCCTTACGAAGCAAGGCTCAGCGAAAGTCCATGGACCCGAGCAAAAGATCTCCAAAGATAGCAAGGCTCGCACCCTTTCTTTACGAAGGTCGCGTGCACTTCCTGTTACCACAGGCTTGCAGTGCAAAGTTGCCATAATGGAAAATAGCAGGGAAACTACTATAATGGAATATTGGGGTAACATTAGGATAATGGAAAATAAAATGGAAACTGCCATAATGGGGTTTGCTCCCAGAAGATCTTGCAAAGAACAGTTGTCAACAGCAAGCTGCACCTTCTTGAGCTTCTCTGGAAATTTCCACGCCATGAACTGGTAGATATTGGCGATGCCTGCGATGCATGCGAGGCACTGCACATCACACACTCGAACCATGGCTACTCCAGGAGAGACCCGTGCGCAAATTCTCAGATTAGGGTTTAGCGTTCTGTTTTTATACCCCTATATAACCCCATTATAGTATGTACCCCTATATAAACCTATGATAGTACATACACCTATATAACCCCATTATAGCAGTTTCCATCTCATTTTCCATTATCCTAATTTTACTAATATCCCATTATAGAAGTTTCCATTTTTCATAATGGGTAAAGTAAAGGATGCCACATGGTTACTACTGGGGTTTTCCCTTCCTAGGTTTTTGCGGCCTTCTCTGCTCCTCTGCACATTTGAGCCGTAGTCTAGACTCCTAGTATCCCCCTCGAATAACCCCTATAGTAGTCCCCTACATAATGACTTATAAACCCCTCTTTAAGGAGTTTAGACTATAGCTCATTCCACGAAACCTGCCTCTTCCGCTCACAATGCGTTCCACACTGATGCGCGATTTCGCACTGAACCGGATCTGCAGGTACCTGCTCGCAGCGCAAGCAGCTGTGGCTTTTAGGCTTAAGGTTTAGGGTAAGGTCAAGAGGGTTTAGGATTTATAGGGCTTAAGGGTTTAGGATGTAGTGTTTAGGGATGGTGAAGGGCACTGCATCATCTCAGTTTGAAGGTTTGTACTGCCTTCTTGTCGAGGTGCAAATTCCTGTCAGCAATACCCGGCAGCTTGTGTCTGTCCAACAACAACCCGTGCCTTGTGGCCCCCCTCTGACGGCCAGACCTACCAGAATCGTGGTGAGCAGGGAACGGCGGCATGGAAGAGACATGGAAACTTCATGTATCCATGGGGATGAAACAAGTCTACTATAGGGATCCGTCCATTCCCTCCTAGATGTAATGCCACATGTCAGTTTCCATTTATTTTTCCATTTGATTCTCCATTATTGGTGGATAGTATCCCAACATAACCCCAATAAACAACAAAAATCGGCAGCCATGGCTGTTTGGGCTTGGCGGAGTCAAAGTCCAACCTCATAGTCGCCGTTCTCACCCGTAGTCATGAAGGCCTCGCCCAAGCCAGTTCCTGACCACGCCAGTAGGTGGGCACAGATAAACAGGAGTTTCCAAAAAGTAGGGGTTCCACTGTTTTACCCTAATCCTTGAAAAAGGGACCCCTAGTTCTTGGAAACCTTGAACCCTAAACCCTCAATCCCCAAAGCCTAAACCCTAAGCCCTAAACCCCGTACAAACTCTAAGCCCTACACTGTTTGGGGAAGCACTAAGGAGAGGACCGGCACCAAGCAGAGCGATGGGAGCACCCGGAACGACAGGCGCATCCTGCGGCATCCCCCTGCTTTCAAAACTGGATGTTTCCCAAAATGAGGGATACCCTTAAAGGGGTTGTATAAGGGTTATATAGGGACATATAAGGGTCATATAGGGATATTAAAGGGATACATAGAGTTTGGGGTTTGAGTTTCCCAAGACTAGGGGTTCCCTTAAAAAGGCTACGTAAACATCTTGGGGATGTATAGGGATATGCGGTTGCTATATGCTACCATCTGGAGGCATATACAATCCTAAAAAGGGATTCTAAAACCCTATGATGGGTTCCCCCACCCTTTTTGAGACACTCCCGTTCAACTGTAGGAGTTGTCAGATTCTCTTACTGGGGGTTATATTGGGATTATATTTCCGCATTCCCTACCCTAAACCCTAAACCCGAAACCTTAAACATAAGTGTATATACATATATATTTATATGAGGACTACATTCCCTAATTCCCTACTAACAACCAATAAGTTCTCCTGCAACACATCGCACTCGGTCTTGTTGTCCAAGGTTAGGATGCCATACCCTGCAGGCCAGGTCTCCAAACTGACTGCTTTTAGGGTTTAGGGTTTAGGGTGCAGGGTTTCGGGTTTTAGGGTTTCACAACACTCCATGTATCGTCCCCCTTAAGTAGATAGACATGGCGTTGGGTACATCATAAAAAGATCCCCATATACCCTATGTTTTCTTTCTACTTAAGAGGGACTATATACATGTAAGTACTGAGGATTAGGGTTTAGGGTTTAGAGAAATGTGGCAATTTCCCAAAAGAGGGGGAAGCCATTATAGACCCCCAAATTAGAACCCTTGTTATTCGGACCCCCAACATGGTACCCCTACTTTTGGAAACCCCCATGTATACATGTACATACTAAGAATTCTAGTACGTTGGACTATATTAGGGGGCCCGTTATTTAAGGAGACTACAAGGTTCCCACCTAAACCCTAAACCCTAAACCCTAAACCCTAAACCCATCATCGCACCTTGAGCTTCAAAGTCGTTCATCAGGTACACCTCCTTCATGCCGAGTTCCTCACACGTCAGAGCAGGGCCTCATGCTCCTGGCTGTTAATATTTCCTACATAGCTGAAATGTTTCCTAATTCGGGACGCTATCAGGGACTATGGTAAAAACACAAGAACACAAGAGGAACCCCTATGCTCATTGTTCAGGGTTCTTTAATACGACTAATTAATATTGACAGTAGCTCATCTAAACCCTATAAACCACTACGTAATCCCGATTTCCGTTTCATTTTTCATTTTCTTGTCCATCTGTTTCTCCGTTTTTCTCACATACACCTATATACCCAATTTCCCCTATATACCCCTAAATACCCCTAAATACCCCTAAATGCCCCTATATACCCCTATATACCCCTATATACTCCGATATACCCCTATATACCCCTAAATACCCCTATATACCCCTATATGCCCCTAAATACCCCTAAATACCCCTATATACCCCTATATACCCCTATATACTCCTATATACCCCTATATACCCCTATATACACCTAAATACCCCTATACCCATTGAAAGTGTCACTTGTCGAGCCTCCGCGATCTGATTCCCATCCATCCTCCACCCAAGGTTTACCAGGTTGCACCTTGGCGAGCTTTAGGGGGTTATATAGGTCATTATAAATTATATAGGGGAGTATTATACGGGTGATTATGTAAGGGGGATACTGGGAGTATAGACTATAGCTCACATGGCATTCACGGAGGACTTGGAGGTCCCATGGTGTTTGCAGGTAGGTGGGTAGGACCTTGGGTGTAAGTGTACTTAAAACCCAACTTGAGGGACTTCTAGCACCACTTGCAACTTCTCCATAAACCTTCAAGTAGCCTTGTGTGGAGAACCCCGGTTTCATCGAGTCCCTGACTTGTTGTCGACAACCACGCCGGCCACCGCAAAGCATCCTAGGTATGGTGGAGGCCTCGGTCAGCTCTGCAGAAGGACGATGATGGTGCAACTCTATCCTGCTTAGCAGGGCATGGGGTAATATTGGTGTAGGGACAATGACAGGGCATCCTGTAGTAGGGAGAACCATTATTTCCTTAATTCCTATTACTATTTTACTACTATTAGTAGTGGGATTGCTATAGGATTCCGATCCTTCATTTGCCACTGAGCATGAATAGAGCAATGCTGGGGATTGGACATCCCAAGCCCTACGGAGGTGCTCTGCGCAGCTTTCTTCAGAAAGTCTTGAGCCACCTGGGTTTGGGGTTTCGGGGTCTAGGGGTTTGGGGACTGGGGTTTTGGCTTTAGGGGTTTTGGGGGCTTGGGGTTTAGGGTTAAGGGAGCGACTGGTTTAGGGATAGTATTGGGCTCTTGGGGACTGCGGACCCGCCTCCGTGAAGGAGTCGTAATGGCTGTTGGAATACTTGGCCTGAAGAAGGGGATCTCAACGAAAACTCGTCTACCGGTTTTTAGTAGGGAGTAAGGGAGTATAGTATATCGGGGCTTATATAGGGAGTATAATCACCCCTAAAATTGCTATTCGCAATTTCCCTACTAAGAGTCAGTAAGCTCTTGGACTCCATGAGATGATACTGAGCATCCAGCATGATGCACCATGCACTCAGGCGGCACCACTGCCGTGTAGGTCTCCTCGCGGACACGGCAATGGAGCTGGTGAATATTTCCCATATGATGAGAATGCACATGGATTCTTATTAAGGAATACATCAAAGGCTACAAAGGGACCCCTTTGTAAATGGTCCCTTGGCCCAATGCTAGACATGTATTTGGCCACAGTAGCTCACAGGCTTAGCTTTGTTGTGAAGCACAGCTGTCCGGCACTCGGAAGAGGTGGAGCCGAGTGTTCGTGCCCCCCACGTCCGCGCAGAGGAGCATAGGCTGCACGGCGTCAGAGCTTTTTGAGAAGGCAAAACTGCCCCCCATTTCTGCTTATAGATGCTGTGCGGTGGTTTCACTTAATTTGTTGGCAAAACTGTGTTGCAGGGGCTTAGTGGCTTATTTTGGGACCATGCTGCATCATACTGCAAGCCTCTGCTGGCATTGGAGAGAGCGACCGCATAAACTTTGGCGGCGGCTTAGACTTGTCGTCTTTCTCCGATCTAGGCTCCACAATGACAGTCTTGGATGCTGTCGTGTCCTGCCAGAGGTAAGGAGGGGCAGCCCACTCATCCAAGGGCGAAGCACAAGGACCTCATACTTCTTCTGCTTTCCCGCACCACTTCCCATGCTGGCCGCGGCCCGAGAGAGGCCCCAGCTGAAGGTAGCGAGCAGAATGTCTGAACTGGAGCTTCGCACGTGAAGAATTACTGATCTGTCATCTACGTCAGCTGTGTCTTGCATGGCTACAGTAAGTCAGCTCTTGAAATTACCATGAAGCCTTCAAGTACTGCTAGAAAGATCAGAGAGAGCCAAAATGGCATGACTTGTCGTTAGTAGGGCAGGAAGGACTCGTTCCCTGATAGTAGCCTCTATATGATCACCAATAATTATCAGGAACTAAAAAGGGCTACTATACCGGTTTAGGGATTCATTCATCCATTGCTTGCACCCTAAAACCTAAGTCCAATACAACCCATTATAATAGTTTCCATTTTCTTTTCCACTGTCCCCGTATGACCCCAATATAACCCTAATATTGTATATTACCCTAAAGCCCAAACCCCAAATAGTAGTTTCCATGTCATTTTCCATTCTCCCCATATAACCCGATATACCCCTGAACCCTAAACCCTAAACCCTAAACCAACAACCTGTATGTTAAAGGCATGGCATCAGGCTCGGGCGCAGGAGTAGTGGCGGGAGTGCCGGAAGGATGATACACAAATATCTACAGTCCCCGTTTGGTAGATAGAATATGGGGTATATGGGGATCTTCTTATAATATACCCAAAGCCATATTCTATCTATGTAAGGGGGACAGCACAAGCACCTGGGTGTAAGGTTTAGGGTGTAGCGTTCCATAAACGCCTGAGCTAGTCTACACTCCTTCGGTAGTCCCCTATATAACCCCCTTTAATGAGATTAGATTATGGCTCACCCGGGTGTAGGGTTTAGGGATGTTTGGGGTGTAGGGCTCCACCCCTGCGAATGAGCAGCGGCTTGCTCTGAGGTCATGTTTTCGCCACTTGCCTGTCCCTGCAGTTCACGGATGGAAAATAACAGGATTTCCGTGCCCTGCATCAGGTGGCGGATTTTCTCACGCACCAACGCTCCAAACCTCGGCAATCCGTGAGACTGCGGGAGTTTCCCAAGAACTCTGGACTGCTTTTGGGTGTTTTTGTAATACGGATGACAATATCTTGGCCTCAAAGAAAGAGAGGAATTGATAACTTCCCAAGATAGGGGTACCCCAATATAGATCCCCAAATACTATCATCCTGATTATGGGGACCTTCAACAGGGTACCCCTAATTTTGGGAAACCCCCATGTCCTCTTTGGAGATATTGTCAACCTGGATTATGGTGAGCCTCTGAGTGGCTGGCGATGAAAGCTTCCAGGAACTGAACCGGCAGCAAGACCAGGTTCAGCAGGAAGGGAAGCTGAAACCTTGACAAGTGTTGGATCTTTCCCCCTCCCGACTCCCGGTAGCTGTCTCTATTCATTTTGAGGCTATAATTGCAACTATAAACCCTAGACTAGACCCTAAACCCCTAAACCCTAAGCCAAAACCCTAAATCCCCTGACCTCCGACTACCTTTGTAGAGACCCAAGACAGTCCCATGAAAATACTTGCCACGGGGGCCCTTCACAGGGATGTCCGAAAAGAGCATCAGCGGGGATTTTGAAAAAATGTGGTTTAGGGTCTAGGGTTTGGGGTTTAGGGTTTAGGGTTTAGGGGTCTCCCTCAACTACACCAGAACAGTACGACCCTCATCATAAGGACCCCCAACAGGGGATCCGACCATTTTTGCAAATCTCCACACACAAAGACTTAAGCTTCTGACCCCAAAGCCAGCTGCGTCAGGAAGCCCAAGACAGCAATCGACCAGCCAATCGCCTTCCAACAGCTTCTCGTAACTGCAACATGCTCTGCCCACTGCTGGTTAGTAGGGGTCGGAGGAGTGGATATAATAGCCCCTATACAGCCCTAAAGTAATCCCCTGCCATAATCCCTACAATATAACAATTGGGCCGTATTCCTCACGTCCCTACTAACCATTTACTGACCAAGCAGATGAATATCCGTTGACTGGCAGCGCGCGAGCCTCGTCGATGTAAGTCTCTTTGTGCTCTACTTGGAGGTAGCCCTTCTCATGCAGGAAATCTACCTGCATCGTGGCAAGCACGTTGCCTAACAGGCCTCAGGTTTTCACAGATGAGCTCAGCCGGCCAGATACTCAGCGAAGATCATTCCACCACGGATGGCGGAGTGCACTGCAGAGATAACTCGCTGTATCCACCTCGCTGGCCACAGGCTTCACAAACATCTGCTCCGAGTGGCGACTCACATTGTTTTTCTCCCCATTGGGGGATCCCTTTTGGGGGTACTATAATTGGGGAGTGTAGTAGTTCGGGCACAAAAGAAACTGGGCTCTGCGACCAAGCAAGACTGATGGCAGTGATCTTGCAGGTCCAGCGTGTGATGGTTGGCACCCACTTCTGGTACTCCTGCAGGCGATTTGCTGCCTACTAGCCGGTAGAAGGACGGGAAAGCAAATGGCTATAGGGATTTCTTCCTCCATTCCCTATGAAAACGCAACGAGGTAAAGCCCAAAACACATACATCCTTCATAACACAGTTTACACGTTATTTGTCTACGAGATCTTCCTTTTCTGGGGGGATATGTAACCCCAATAACGGAGAATCAAACGGACAAGGTATTTGTAAATGAAATGGACACCGCTAGCCTTTTGGCGGTTGAACTGGGCAAGACTATACCCACAAGGAGGATGTAATCTTACTGTAAGTCCCCAATACATATTGGGAATAACAACCTACACCTACGCAATCCCATTTCCCATTTCATTTTCCATGTTCAGCTCCATTTGATGATCCATTGTTGAGGTTAATATATGTATTTATGTCTGCCTCCCTCTCTCACCATACAATTCCATACTGCAGGCTATATTACACTGCTTCAAAACCCTGAAGCCCAAACCTTATACTGTGTCAACACCCTAATCCCTAAACACTGTCCAGAAATCCTAAACCCTAGACCCGAAAACTTTTTCCTAAACCCTAAGCCCCAAACCCCAAATAGTACCTTCCATTTCATTTTCAATTATCCCCTATATAACCCCTATATAACCTTTATATGCCCCCTAGGAAACCCTTATATAATCCCTAGAAAACCCTGTATAACCCCTATATAACCTTTATATAACCCCTAGAAAACCCTTATATAACCCCTATATAACCTTTATATAACCCCTAGAAAACCCTTATATAACACCCTGTATAACCCCTAGATATCCCTGTGGAAGGCCTCCGCAATCATGGACTCTATCAAGGGCTCTACCTTGCTAACCGGCTTGTAAACTTTGGCGCCAATAACCTGGGTCCAAGGTTTTAGGGGTTTAGGTTTTTTAGGGGTTTAGGGTTCAGGGGTTCAGGGTTTAGGGGTTTAGGGGCTTAGGGGGTTTAGGGTTTAGGGGCTTAGGGGTTTTGGGGTTTAGGGCGTTAGGCTCGCTCCCTGACTTTAACACGCTTTTTTAAAAAGAATATGCAGATTAGAAAAAATTGGGTTATTTCCAGAACGTCCAATCATAGACCGTCATAGACCATACTTCGGTGCCCTTGCATATCCTAGACCTTAGCCTTGAATGTTATGCATTTTTAGTGTCCGCTTTAATGTCCACTTTACAATTTCAAGTGCAAAACCCTCAACGCTAGATTCTCTATAGGGACCTAAAGCATCACCAATATTCTGATCCCGAGAGAAGGAATCTTGATTCAGGATTTGGGAGAAGGGGAGAGGAAATGGAAAAAAATGGAAACTGCGTTTACACAGGGTGGTTATAGGGATAACTATTAATGTTTCGGTTTCAGATTTGTTGTATGTTTCTAGTGTAGAGCATTTCAAATAGACGTCAACAAACGCTGGTAGTCATTTAGAACCCTGCAATACACCCAGAACTCATTGCTGGCTCACGGATCTACGGTGGATGGAGGAATTCTTGCACCACTTAGTATACCAAAATAGTGTAGTTGCCATTATTGGGGCTATATTACAGGGTAGTGCAAGATTTCTTCCTCCATCCACAGTACATGAAAGATACCTGAGCTATAGTCTAAACTTCGAGTATCCCCTTAATAACTCCTATAACACTCCCCTATATAAACCCCTGTATAACCCTCTTTGAGGAGTTTTGATTATAGCTAACCTGAAATCTGCCAGGCCGTTTCATTGGCTGGTGCTGCCGGGCTAGCAGCCCTGGCATTTCTGGCTGGACATTGCCGCTCGAGCAGTAACAAGAAAGGGCTTCCAGGTGTAGGAAATGAGCAATAGTCTTCCTTACAGGTTATCAAGGGGAATACTAGGAGTGTAGACTATAGCCCAGGTGTAGGAATTTGGTTTTGGGGTCCTTGTTGAATATAGATTGAAATGTCTGTCGCGTTAGAAGCTAACGAGGAAGACTGCACTACAAGTTACCGCATTGTTCAAATGAAAAGCCCTAAGATACTCCCTTCTATAGTCCGCTATATAGCCTCCATACAGAGTTTAGAACATGTCCCATATACCCCTTTAAAGGTACCCCTCTTTGAGGTTGGAGGAATTTGAGTTCAGGAGGTTTACTGGGAGTAACACCGTGCACGCTGACAACGTCAGCGAACATATGTGTATTTCAACATCAAAGTGTATAATGGCGGTACTGGCAAGATTGCTGTTTTGCTGCTGCTTTTGCTATGACTACTACTGGTAAACATGCATGTCTTCCAAGCAATGGCACTTCTCTGTCTGTGAGGTGCACAATGCAATGCTGCTTTCCGACTCTAAACCAACCGTGTGCATTTCCGATGTGCTTCACAAACATCCGTCGGCATCTGGACATGACCCTTCAGCATTGTCTTGAGACCCTACGAATGTAGGAGCCATACCTTAGGTGGACCCCCCGCCCTGTAATAGTGGTATAGCAGGAATATAAGAGGACCCTAATATGATCACCATTATCCTGTATGGTCACAATTTAAGCTATAACAATCATGTGCAACACAAGTTTCAGTCCAAGCTAATGTTCGGCTCCTAATGGCATCCACACAACCAACTGAATACTGCCAGGTGTTTCCTTCCTTTGTTCTCACTCAGCTTGCCAGCTTTCACCCTCATGAGGATCCTTTTTTCTAGCGACCCAAGGAGGTATCCCTTATTTCGAGATATCCCGTATTCCAAGACATGCGCAAGGTACCATAGATTTCAGAAGCCCCTAACCTGACCTTGAAACCTGAACCTTATGTAGCCACTAACACCTCTCCGATATGACCACAATCCTCCACCAGGTAGCCATAAACAAAAAACACACACACAATGGCCATCCTGTAACCTGCGAAATTCCATTCGTATGAGCTATAGTCTAAACCCCTTAAACAGGGATATATATGGGAATATATTGGGGAGTATTATAGGGCGTATTAAGGGGGATACTAGGAGTTTAGACATTGGCGCATATACTCGTTAAGAGGGACCCTTGAAGCTCTTTCCTGATCCGAAAACCTCCCTTTCCTCTCCAAGACTGTCCCAAATTTTTAGTAGCTCTGAGATCAGCATGGACAGTAGAAGCCTACCTCCTGAGCCCCAAACTCTATACCCCAGGCTAAAAGACTGAACGTGGACAAAATCCTGCATGACCCTGGATATACCATAATACCATTCTTCCCCAGATATAAGGTACTTAGGACCTACGAACCCCAACATATTCCCGGGTTTCATCTCATTGTCCATGTTCTTTTCCATGATTCTCCGCTATTAGGATAACACGCTTAAACCCTAAACCCTGAGCTACTAAAGCTTAAACCTCAAAAAAATTACATATACATATATATATATACATGTATATATATATGTATGTGATCAGACCCCTTTTAAGGATCCCTAAACCTTAAACCCGAAACCTTACATATGTATATGTATATATATATGTACACATATGTATATGTCCTTACACCCCCCATCTAAAGGTACTTTCAGCTCAGGCCACGGTCGCCGCTGGTCGTCCAGGTTTCGCTCGCCGCTGCTGCGGCCGGCAGCCCTGGGATCGACGAGCTTCCAGTGATGGCTTAAAAGTCTTAGTGAGCAGGTTTAGGGTTTAGGGTTTGGGGTTTAGGGTGGGGTTTAAAAGGGTCAGATAAAGAAATTCAGGGATAGACAGGGTTAGAAAGGATGTAGGACCGAATACCCCTCCCAGGACTTACTATACTTGGAGTGTCAGGAACACTTAGCAACCCGAAGCCATTTTCTCACCACAGTTATCGCCTGAACTGACCTACTTACGGAGCCGTCCCTGCAAGTATGGTCCCTTGAAAGGGCTTCAAGGGGCATGTATGTGAATAGATAGGGCTTTATTAAAATGATTAGAACATGGCTCATTGAAAAGGATTGTATGGAGCTGTATCGGGATGGATAGGGCTGTAAAGAGCGCAGGCCGAGAAGAATCAGAATATCGGAGAAACAAATGGAAAAGAAAGTGGAAACAAAACAGAAGCTTGGTGTGTATAGCGAACATAAGGACCAGAAGGGCCTACCTGGAGGCTCAGGGGGGACTCTTTCAGTAAGGGAGGAATGGAAACGGACATGGAAGCTGAAATGTTCTGTGGGGTTCGGGGTCCGTAGAGACCCTGCGAGCCAAACACTTGGTCGCGGAGGGCGTGCAATGGGCCTTATATAGCCAATCAACGCACATAGAATATTGGGGTTATATTGGGATAATCGAAAAGACAATGGAAGCTACTATTTAGGGTTTAGGGTATAGGGTATAGTCCCCCTTCAGTAGATAGAATATGGGGTACATGGGGATTTTAGTCTAATATACCCAAAGCCATAGTCTATCTACTTACGGGAAACTATATGTATACATGTATATATTTATATATATGTCTATCTATCTATCCATCCCCATCCTCCAAAAAATGCCTTATGTGTCCTTCACTCTTGCTACTGATTGGAAACACACCCTGATTAAGGAATGTACTGCAAGCAATCCTTTTCTTGATGAGGACCCTAAACCATAAACCTGTAGAAATAGCTTGTCAAGAGTGACCGTGCAAAGAGCCAGGGGCCCAACGTCCTTTGATGGTTAAGTTCAGTGTTTAGGGTTCATGGTCAATCCAAGAGAATACGTCACGCATAATCTGCGGGTTATGATTAAGAGCAAAGCCAGAGTGATAATTACTAGGTGTTTTCCAAAATTTGTTCC